AAATAAAAGACACAGTTAGCTTGCGTGCCATAACTTGAACTATGTAGTCCATGGTGTACTTTTCTTCTGCATTGCATCGTATCGTATCGTATCGCACTGTATCGCAGCATTTTAAATCTAGATCGTTCTGTATCGCACCGGATCGCAGGAGGTTGGAGAATCGTATCGAATCTTATCACTAGAAATTCCATGAATCGTGAATGTATCGAATCGTTGGCTGTGTATCGAGATGTGTATCGTATCGCCTTGGTGGTGAAGATTCCCATCCCTAAGGTGTACACAATAGGTAATCAAGACATGACGACACACCAGACATTCCCCCAGACGTGACAACAAGAACTTGTGGCTGATGTCAGTGATCAGTCAGTGTTGCAGAAATCATTTTCCCAAGTTCCATGAAAGCGTTTCAAAAGTGTACCTCAGTTCTTTTGGGTATTCGAGGTTCAAAGCATAGATCAGCCCAAAAAAGGTACGCAAAAGCTGTCGGCAGGTCAGGAAGATCCTGAAGGGCGAAAGCCTCTCCTACAATCACAGCAACGTTTATGACCCTTGCAGGACCTGAACTATCTTTATCCTACAACACAGTCTGTACAATATTGTTCCCCTTGTGAATCAGTGGCCTTGTAATGACAGAAAGCAAATAACCAACACAACAGTATCATTTATCACTAAATACTGTGGCCCAGTGTAGGGTTTTACTCTAAAATTATCCTAAATATTTGGTTTGACATCTTATCCCCCCAAATCCTCACATATGACATCAGTTATATCATGTCATTGGCAGAAAAAATACAAAATGCAACTCTTGGCAATAAGTATCTAGGCACTGGGGCAGACAAAGAATGTGAAAAATGAGAAGATGGAAAAACAGTCAGGAGTGGGATAAAAGGGCAGAAAGCTAGAAATGAATAGCATTACATCTTAGGAGTCCATTTCTCACATATATATGTATACAATTTTGTATATATTTTGATTTTGTAAAAACAAGTCCCTCACAAGACAGTTCTGGAACAGCTTCTGTGACAGAGATACAAAGGAAAGGCCCTTCAAGGCTGTTGATGTGCTGTGGTGTTAGATGTCTAAAACAAAAGGTTGGAAGAAACATTACAAAAATATAGAATGCTCAGAGCAAACATTCGGACAACTTTATTCTTCTACATCCAAAAAACCCCTGTTTGGTCTTCATAAAATCCTTGAATTAAAAAGAACCACCGAGTCACCATCTTGGTAGTTAGTGTACAGTGGGTTTATTATGAGGGTTTGTCACTATGAACAAATTTTCGGATATTAGATCCATTTCGTTATTTTAAAAAAAAGGAAAGATAAGTGCACTTTTATATATAAAAAAAAAAAGAATCAAAGAATTTGTTGTTATGCATTTACATTCATAATTCCCAAAATATAATGAGAACCTATTGTGTAAAATCAATTTCCTCATCCAGTTGGTTAAGGAGTTGATCCATTTCAGGTGGAAAAGCAGTTTTCCTTTCCGATAGAGTCTAAGGAGTCTTCGAGTTTGCTGATTAATAACTGGTTTGAAGTTGTCCATTAGGTTATTGTTGGTAATCCAATTAAACTGTTTACTGATCTGTTGAAAAATTTTGAATACAATTCCAACACCATCTAAATAAAGAAATATGCATTTTATATACAGAAGCACCTCTTTTTTTAAAAGAAGCAATTTATTATATATTCTTTGCTCAGCATACCTGTCAATTTAGAGCAGGCCACCGGCTCTGAACCTTCGACACCATAGACTCTAGCTCAACAATCTCCTTGTGAATTGCAAATCAAAGATACAAGTGGTACTATCTCACTTAACCGGATTGAATCCAACAAATTGCATGATTTGGGGGACTGATTTGAGTTTTTGTGCTAAATGTTACTAACTCATATTTTAAAGTCTTACTTGAAATAGTTATTTTGGCAAAAAAAAAATTAGAGTTGGCCCTTTTACAGGTTGCTAATGAACCCAATATGCATGTTTTTTGACTGAGAGAGGAAGCTGGAGGACACAGGAAGAACCTGTGCTGAACATGCAAACTCCACACAGAAAGGGAACTCAAACCAGGAACCCTTTTGCTGCTAGCTACCTTGTATCTGTAACTGTTGATAGGATACCAATTGTTCTGTCATGAACCAGTTCTGCTTTGGGTGTGTGGCTCGATCTCCCTCCCTCTCCGGAAAATTCCTCATCATCCTCACCGGTGCTGCTCCTTATTTATGTACTAGTCCCACTCACACGGAAATGCTACTTTAAGAAGGGAAATAAAACTAGACTAGAATAGGATTAACACGGGATTCTGGAACTAGAAGATATTGTAGTCATTCAGCCAATTTATTTGAGATACTGAGTAAGAAATTAAGCGTTTGCTGGTGACTGGAAAGAAAAGATTGGCAAATATTTGAATGGACCATCAAATTATCACCAATACTGCTGTATAAAACTCAAAATACACTGTAAACATACATATTAATAAAACAAAGAAAAGTAAAACATTGCCTTAAAGTGTCAGGTGATTGGTAAAGGGCCAAAATAGGGTACGTCTTTCCTAAATTACTTATACAGTGGGATAAAAACAGCTACAACAGTAGACATCAGATCCTCCAATGAAGCTTGTTTTGCGCATTTTTTCCTCGGCAGTTTAAGTCAAACAGCTGGAGGTGTGTGGCCGGTTTGACAAGCTTTGCTTTCCGAGCAGCATCCCCTCCGATTCAAACGAAACGGAAACTGTGTCACCTTATATTGTGTCCCTCTATCCAGTGGCCAAGAAACTATTTTCCCTGGGTCCTAGCTCCCCTCAACTTACGCCCTCTCTTCTTCTGCACAATTTTGTAATTGCGCTTTGTTGATGTCGTTGTGTTTTTCTTATTTGTAATTGTACTGAGTTAAAAACAAAAGAAAACTCACCTTGATGTGTAATAGAACTATTCAAAGAGCTACCTGGCATGTCTGCAAAAGGTCTGCCATAATCATTAGAAGTTTGCAGACGGTGTCTTATGTGAGAACAAGCTGTATAAAAATTGTCTAATTCCTCTAGAATGAATGCAGCCGGTGAGGTATCAATATATTGGCTTTTTGTGTATTCTATGTAAATCCTCTATGCTTATTGTAGCTAATAGCATGTAGCTGAGTATTTCTAATGTTGTAGTTGTGGCCCAACAACTACAACAATAAAATAAGAACCCAAAACTGGGCCACATCGTGTCATAGGTGGAACCTAGGTGTGACCCTCTTTTTGGAGCTCATGTGTGGGTTTTGTCACAGTCACAAAATGCGTTTGCCCCTGTAGGGCCCTTGAGGAACACCCACCATTCAATCTGCTCCACTCGGGCTCAAACGGGGCCTCTAACAGGACCCGTTCTGCTCAGTTTGGGTAGCCCGCTGTCAGTGGCTTTGGAAATGGGGGTAGGAACCAAGAGGAGACCAGGAAGAAAAGGAACCTCAAAGGAATTGGAAAAAAAACTCTATAGAATCTTTATGAAATTGAATATATGTCCTTCTTTTTGGAACGGAGGAAGTCTAGAAGGCACTTTCTAGTGATACTGACCCAGTCAGAGGCCCCTTGCTTTCCATGTAGCTCTTTCTCTGGGCTTCAGGTGAATATCAATTAATTAATTGGCTTGGAGAAGGTGTCTGATTACCTCCAGATTCTGCTGGAGGCCAGGGAAGGTAATGGGGCAGCTAGGGAAGACACTGGTTTTCAGGTACTGTTGGAATGACTTATTAATAATAACCACACTGTTTAACGATCCCCTTCAAAACCCTCCTGCCTTGGAGTTACATTTTAAAGTCAGGAGAAATTGGTAGAGAGAAGCAAACTGGGGGAGGCTCCGTACTAAAAACCCGGCTGTCTACTAACGATTGGCAAACCTAAAACCCCAATGGCGCCAACGAGACAGCGCAACACACCAGAAAGTACGTTTGAGAGATAATTGTTTCAGCCTGTAGCTGTGTAAAGCAGTTATTAGAGCAGATAGTGGACACTCTGCCTTCAGTCGAGGGACTGAGGCTGGAGCTGGCTCCTAAAACCTGTATATACAGTACAGTCACAGTTAGCTAGCTTATTGTGTTCGGTAAGAACACAATAAGCTAGGGCGTTATTGTGTTCGGTAAGAACACAATAAGCCGCCAAAGTCAGTCACATATTCTGTTTTAGGGGGCTGGATATTTATAAAGGCATGAAATGTTGGAATAATTTTTATTTAAAGCGGAAGGCGTTCTTTGTATCGAAGCACTAGAAGCTCGAATAGGTCAAAGCCGGTCAAACTTGTCAATAAATGTGGGAACAGTGATGTCAGTGAGTCTGCTGAAATGGCAAATGCCAGCACCGTTTTACTCAATGGAAATAAACCCACGCTATTGTCTAGAAATGCCATATTTATGGAGACGTTTGAATTTCCAGCTCATTGGCGGGTAACTCCGGGCGTGTGGAAATTAGACAAAGAAGCTTCGGGACTCTCGCGAGCCCGTTTTCTTTCATGCTCTTCGCACGAGCCCGCCGCGGTTCTGGTGGCAGTTCCGCCATTGGCCTGAGGGGGCGGTAGAGCTCCAGTCGGGTCCCTCCGCCGATATCGATCAGTCCGACGGCTCCGGCTCCTCTCGGAACCCGAATTGGCTGCGGAACCGGCGGTTCTGACTCTCGTACGGGGGCCGTGCCAGTCTCTCGCCGTCGGTCCGGTCCGCTTTCGTCTGGCCCTGCCCGGTTCAGGCAGCGGGTCCCGAAACTTTTTCGAACCCCCCGTCGGAGAGCCTCGGTTAGCCGTTAGCATCCCCCCCATGAGCCGCAGGGCGCTGATCTTCGGCTGAAACTTTTGAAGCGGCGAGCCCTGGAGCTTGTTTTTCTCGCCCGGGCCCAGACCTTTTAGCTTTAGCCCCCCCCGGGGAGCCGCTGGGCCGGCCTCTCTCCGCCTCCGGAGAGCTAAGCTAACAGGCTAACTGGGAAGTGATTTAGCAGCTGGCGGGCTGCCCCCCCCCCCCCCCACCCTCGTCCTTCCCGATGCCGGCGATGCTGGAGCGGAACCCGGAGGCCCTGGGGAAGCGGAGGGGCCGGGCCCCGGCGGGCGCCGGCGGCCCCGGAGCCGCGGCCACCGCCGGGGGGAAGACCCTGTCCGGTAATGGAAGCAGCACCAACAGCTGCTGGGAAGAAGGAAGTTCGGGCTCCAGCAGCGACGAGGAGCATGGTGGGTAGCCTCGGTCGCTCCGCGGGGGCTGACGACGTGTACTCGCGGGAACGGGGGTCGCTCACGGTCCCCTTTGTGTCCCCGTTTTTTTTTTTTTGGGCGCTCAGGTGGAGGAGGAATGCGGGTCGGAACGCAGTACCAGGCCGTGGTTCCGGACTTCGACCCGGGTAAGGCTCCGAGCACAGCACGGCATCATGGAGGTGGAGTGGTAGCCTCGAACACGCCGAGCACAATGACAAGTTTGTAGAAAAAGCCCACGGCGCCTCTTCCAGGTTTGGACTTGGTTTTATTTTCTGAATCCGCTGATGGGTTGGAACGAAGACGCATTCCCTCACGAGAGCAGCCATGTAGTCCACTTATTATTGTGAGGGGTTTTCCTTTGTTTGTCTTTGCTTTAATGGATTAGTTTCCCCTCTGTGACAAGACAGCGTCCTCCCTGTGGGTGATGCATGGATTTATCACCATCTGTGGCATCATCACAGCAGCATCCGACCAGTTGGTTCCAAATCTAGAACGGGAGAGAAGCAGTGAATAGAGTTTTCCCACTTGAAGCACTAATGTGGGGAAAGATGGTGTGTGGTGTAGGATTTAAGGAGTGTGGCTTCATATGCTCACCCCCAGACAGCTCTCATAAAGGCAGGGCCGATGTTGTACATCCAGTTTGTAACTACAGTTAGCTCTGCGTCCAACAGAGCTAACTGGGCCGCCCACCCTGAGCCATGGTTCTGCTCCAGGTTCCTGCCTGTTAAAAGGAAGTTTTTCCTTGCCTGTGTCGCCTAGTGCTTGCTCATGGTGGGAATTGTTGGGTTTCTGTAGTTAACTTCAGAGTAGGGACTCTCATTTCTGCCTGTTAAAAGGAAGTTTTTCCTTGCCTGTGTCGCCTAGTGCTTGCTCATGGTGGGAATTGTTGGGTTTCTGTGATTATCTTCAGAGTAGGGTCTGACCTGCTCTGTTTGGAAAGCGCTTTGAGACAACCGTTGTTGTGATGTGGCGCTATATAAATAAAATTGAATTGAATTGAGTTGAATCTCTGTGGTGGGATGTGTGAGGGGCAGGGGTTCTCAGACCATTCTGTCAGGCCATCCCTACAAAATGTAGACAATAAGGGGTCAAAATGGAATAACATTAAAAAAAAAAAGAATGACTCTCCTCCAAAACTCATAACATAATGGACAACGAGCCTTTATACTCTGCACATCATTTCCAAACAAAAACTATTTCACTTTTACTGGATTTTATTTTATTTTATCATCATCTTCCTGCCTGCTATATTCTTCCAGTTTTCTCTTTAAAGAAATGGAGCGGCTGATGTGTGTGGCGTGCAATGTCTCTTTAATTAGTTTGGTTTCTTAGCCGGGGAGTTGTCGGGCATCTGACTCAGACAGTGTTCCTCGTCATTAGCGGCGAAACCCCGAACAAGAGGGGCCGCGTCATCTTTGGGTTCTTTGGGGTTTGGTCAGTGTCCTCATTTGTCTTTGTTCTGTTATTTTCTGACCTGTTCCCTGCTTTTTGTCTTTACACCTTAAAATGTGCCAAAAAAGGCAGAAAGAACCGAACCTGGGGCCGGTTTCTTTTTTTATTTCCACAGACCAAAGCTCTGGCCCACACACAGAAAAAGCTGCCCTACGCTTATGCCAAGGGAAAGAATCCTTATTGTGTTGGGTTGTAGAAACCAGTTAGACTGGCCTACGTAGCAACCGTTTTCAAAATTCAAGAGAAAGCAATCGAAACTTAGCCACGAGGATGTGAAGTCGTATTCCAGGTAGGTGACTCCGACAGGACTTTTTAGGGAGTTTTGGCAAGCATTTATTAACGTTTTCTGCTGCATTTTGTTGAATGGCACTTTGAAACTGGGTGCGATCGCCATTCTAAACACCACTTAGGACTGCCATCCTCTGTCATTCCTCACAAAAACCAACCAAATTCAACAAATACCGTGTTTAAGAACCATATAGGTGAGGCCACCTTTGCCCCGGGGCCCTCTCCAGATGTTCAGGATACAGTGGAGGCAAAATGTTTTGGAGGAGACGGTTAACGGGACAAAATGATGTGGCTCTGTGGCTGTGGAAAACCAGACCAGCTAGAACTCTTAACCCTAGCCCTAAAGCAGCACGGGTATCACTTGGGTTGAAATGGTGGGATTCAAAAAGGTTCTGGAGTGGAGCTATGTAAATAAATGAGCCTTTTTCTAATGTTTCTCTTGTATTTTGCCTTTGTTTTTGCAGAAGTAGCCAAGGCAGCTCACCTCAGGGAGAACCTGGGCATGCTGGTTTGGATCCCCAGCAGCTGCCTGAACCAGACTCAGTGTAAGCACGAACTGAACACTCCGCCGTCCTACTAAGTCCCAAACCTCCCGAGTCTAAGGCCAGAGGCCGGAGTTGTGCTGATCCTGTGTTTTCTTTCAGTGGACGAGTACATCTCCATCGCTAAAGAGAAGCACGGCTACAACATGGAACAGGTTTGTTCGCCCCCGAATAGTTTTTCCCCACAACCACCAGCTAACGAATAGTTGCCTTTCAGACGCATTGAGTCAAACATATTTCGCCATGTCTTACTTTCCTTTCTTTCCTAACACTGTTAGTGGGTGTTGGAGTTCTGACACGCTCATAAAACCTGGTGACACAGAGCAAAAAATTAGATTTAACTTGTTTATGCATCCATTTGATATCAGTAGCCACTCTTCACACAGATGGCATGTTCTTCTCACAAAGCTGTAGACATCAGGGTAGACATCCTAAACTGTGGAATGGCTGGTTAGAAGGGTTAGTGAGGTAAGAGAAAGTGCAGGTTTTTGTAAAAGCATTGAAATAACTGCGAAACTCCTGTGGAGAACAGTAAAAACTCTGTTGATCACCAAAGAGCTAGGTCTGCTGATCACGTGATCTACAGGCTCAACACGTCCCGTCCCTTCTCCTGCCTCCCTGTTCCAGGCTCTGGGGATGCTGTTCTGGCACAAACACAACATCGAGAAATCTCTGGCCGACCTGCCCAACTTCACGCCGTTCCCCGACGAGTGGACGGTGGAGGACCGGGTCCTGTTCGAGCAGGCCTTCAGCTTCCACGGCAAGACCTTCCACCGCATCCAGCAGATGGTACGGGTACAGCCTCTCTCTCTCTCTGTGTGTGCGAAATCCTGACCACCGGCCCCCCAATGACTCACCGGGGCCGTCTGTGTGCAGCTACCCGACAAGTCCATGGCCAGCCTAGTCCGGTTCTACTACTCGTGGAAGAAGAGTCGCAGTAAAACCAGTCTGATGGACCGACAGACCCGCAAACATAAGCGCGACAGAGGGGACAGGTGAGTTAAATCCCCGCACGGGTGGGTGCGAAGTGTCACATTAACTCCCGAGATGTGTCGGCTTGAGACGAAGCTCTGTGTCCGCAGTGATGACGAAGTGGAGGACGCCAACGGGAATCCTCCCAGCGACCCGGAGTTTGATTCCACTAAAGATGAGAAGAAGGAGGTAGGCTGCACGCCACTACCTCCAGACCGTCGTTTAACCGGGCCCTACCCGACTCACTCAGATTAATCGCTGCTTTCAGGTGAGCGCGGGATCAGAGAGGCCAGAGGTGAAACCAGCCACCGGCCTAAAGGTAAGAGCGCTGCCACCTTTTGCAAAAAGTGAACAAAAACCGATAGCGACACATCCCTGGTCTGGCCCAGTTTGCTTTTGGTCAAAATCCGAACTCTAGAAATCGAAGCATTCGCAGAACTCGCCGGTGTTAAGTTCAGAAATGAGACTCGATATAGCATGCCGTCCCTGAGCCGTGCACGTTAAGGAAGAGGGGCATCTCAGTAGTCGGGCTAACAGAAACTTGTTCACGTTGACCACAGGCTGCTCTTTCACTTCTATCAGTTTCTAACAACTGTGATGGGGGTATGGCAAACTGATTTTGTTGGAGGCCTTTTTCTCATGGAAAAGCTCTCAGGAGAAATTAGTCCTCAGGGCATCGGCGGACATCTTTCTCCATAAGGGAGCAAGGTTTAAGTCATCCAGCTAAAAACGGTGATCTTCGTATTGATCGCTCAGCAACGTTTAGATTTGACTTTTGGACTCGTGTTAGAAAAGAAAAAACCTACTGAAAGTTCTATATGGAATTCTGTAGCTTCCTCTCGACTCGTTCATTCCTGAGATGTCCGGGCTTTCAGCCCAAGCCCTTCTTTAGCCTCACTGTAAGAAGAAAATAGAAAAAAAAAGGGTTTAATACCTACCTTCCACCACTAGATGGCGGCATCTACCAGCCTGCCGCAAGTCCATGTGCTCTGTTCAAAACGCACAGGCTAGCTACAGGTGCCGGGCGTGTCCTGCTCGGACTCTGGCCAACCGCGTGGTCATTTCCTGGGCGCGTAACGTACCTGTGGAATCCACCCGGGACATGTCCCGGGCTCCTAACCCTTTCATCTGCGAGCGGACCGGTTGTAGTCGCCCGCGTGTCTCCGTGTCCCAGCAGATGGGGGGCAAAGCGTCCCAGCGCATGAAGAAGCGCCCCCCCCGCGGCATGTTCCTGAGCCAGCAGGACGTGGTGTCGCTGTCGTCCTCCACGGCCCAGGGGTTCATCAGGCAGCTGGACGGTCAGCTGGTGTCCATCAAGAGACAGGTCGGTGCCCCGCGGGCGTCCGCCGGGGGGGGGGGGGGGGGGGGCCCCCCCCCCCCCCCCCCCCCCCCCC